CCATTTTCCATTTCCATTTGAACTTTAAGACTATACATAAATATCTTGTAATTACTGGCGTATTTTCTCTAATGATGCATGAGAAATGCATAACTATGGGCTGCTGGAGTGCAATATAATCTTTGCAGCAGCTTCTTTGAAACATCATTTTGAAATAAGAGAATCAATACAGATTTGACCGATCATTTGATTCTAATTCACATTTGGTTTGATTTGATTCTGATTCGTTTGTGTATTTTTCTGTTATAATTCCAATTTTTCGTACAGATGTAAATCATTCTTTCTTAACTAATGCTGTTTATTAAATAGTGCTGTGTTTCGAACTGATTCAAATCAGTAACCTTTTGAACGACATATTAAAAAACTACAGGTAAGACTCGTGTGCATTTAGGGGTCAATACCCCATTTGATATCGTAATCTAATTTTAAGAGTTTCTTTGTAATAAGGCAGTCCTCTTTTATTGTCTTTAGAGTGCATTCGTTTATTTTAAAGAGCGATTTTCCTGCATGTTTGATGCATTTTAATGTCTCCCTGAGGACTATAAATCAAGGTTTCTTGCCCCAAAATCAGGCGTAATTTAGTTTTTCATACCCATTTTCCATTTCCATTTGAACTTTAAGACTATACATAAATATCCTGTAATTACTGGCGTATTTTCTCTAATGATGCATGAGAAATGCATAACTATGGGCTGCTGGAGTGCAATATAATCTTTGCAGTAGCTTCTTTGAAACATCATTTTGAAATAAGAGAATCAATACAGATTTGACCGATCATTTGATTCTAATTCACATTTGGTTTGATTTGATTCTGATTCGTTTATGTATTTTTCTGTTATAATTCCAATTTTTCATACAGATGTAAATCATTCTTTCTTAACTAATGCTTTTTATTATATAGTGCTGTGTTTCGAACTGATTCAAATCAGTAACTTTTTGAACGACATATTAAAAAACGGGTTCATTCTCTCTCTCTCTCTCTCTCTCTCTCTCTCTCTCTCACACACACACACTCACACTCTCTCTCACACACACACACACAACCCCCTTGCACTCCCACACACATGTATATCTCTCTCTCTCTCTCTCTCTCTCTCTCGCGCGCGCGCGCGCACACACACACACACACACACACACACACACACACACACACAAACAAACGTGTACAAACAAACAAATCTCACACGTTCACATGTGCTGTTCCTCAGACCAAAGGTTGTGGCTCACGCCTACATACATTTGCATCTCAAGAAGCTTTTGTCTGGGACTTCATGAGTGTGTATGTGTGTGTCTGTGTAACTTAGCACCTGTTCATTTGCACAGAAGCACTCGAGCCTCCACTCTGCTGCTCAGGTTAATTAGCTAAATTCATGCTAATCACTGTGACGAACCAGGAACAAAAGCCTGAGACACAGAAAGCCAAAGCCTTCACGGCACACCGCAAAAAAATCAGCAGTATTTTTGTCTTGTTTTCAGGTAAAATACCATTAAAAATGTTTTCAATTTTAATTTTTCTTATTCTGTTGGAAATATTTAATAAAAAAGTATATATGCATAAACCTGATTAAATGCATGTATGCAGTACTGTTCAAAAGTTTGAGGTTGCTAAGATTTTTGAATGTTTTTGAAAGAGGTCTCTTCTGCTTACCAAGGCTGCAGTTATTTGATTATAAACAATACAGTAAAAATTGTGAAATATTATTACAATTTTAAAACGTCTGTTTTCTATGTGAATATGTGTTAAACTGTAATGTATTCCTGTGATGTGCAGCTGTATTTTCAGCATCATTCCTCCAGTCTTCAGTGTCACATGATCTTCAGAAATCAGTATAATATGCTGATTATTAGAAACATTTCTGATTATTATCAATGTTGAAAACAGTCGTGCTGCACAATATTTTTGTGGAAACTGTGAAACATTTTATTTTTCAGGATTCACAGATGAACAGAAAGTTCAAAAGAACAGCATTTATTTGAAATAGAAATCTTTTGTAACATTAGAAATGTCTTTACTTTTGATCAGTTTATTGCATCCTTGATTAATAAAAGTATTAATTCCTAATAAAAAATATATTTTATTTTATTTTATGTTATATTTATTATATACAGTGTGTGTGTGTGTGTGTGTGTGTGCATGCATGCATGTATGTATTTCTTACAGATCATATACAGACCCTGTTAACCTTAATAATTTCACTGATGTATTTACCATCCTGCAGCCATAATTCAAGCAGTCATTAAGTTTTCTCTTTATTGTGAAGGCATGTGGCGCTCTGAATAAACATCAGCTTCTCTCTCGCTGTCTGTAAGTGCTGCACTATTGCTGGCATCATCATTTCATTACTTACAGATAATTGACACATCCAGTGCTAAATAAGATTACACTGGATTAAGGGAGAAGAAATGGATTTCACATGGTTGCATCAGCATCTTAGGTAGTTCTTTAATGAATCAACCACATGCCCACCAATTAGCACAGGCTAAATCTCCTCCTGTGGCTCGTTGGAGTGTTGTTAAAGTTTGGATTTTTTATCCACTTTCACTAATTTACACATAATTGTTTTACTGTTCGGTGAGATAATGAACACTCTTGTGGTTTGTAGGTCATGCATTAGATCAGGCCAAATGTTTGAAACCACCAAGAGATATTAAAAATGAAAAGATAAATAAATTAAGGATTTGAGAGAGGGGATGTGATTTGCATGCATAGATTAATGATGAAAATATGAGTTGGTTTTTGAGGTTCTCTTGAACTAGTCTTGCGTAAAGCATTATTGTGCATTCATTCAGCATTATTTGTGATTATTTTAATGGCAATTTGAAATTAATCACTATTGTGATGATTTTAACTTGTTTGGTAATAAAGTTAAATTTTGAAGTAGAACGACTGAAATACTGATTTCTTGTAAAATTAACTCCAGTAATCTTTGTTTTAAAATATTTTTCCAAAATGAAGCCAATGTGACACACAGTACGGCCTTTCCTTCCTGAATCAGTTTTTTGAACAAATACGTTGAATGAATTCAGTGACTCACTCTTAAAAAATATTCATTTAGTTCTTTCCAGAATGAATTGATTGAGTGAATAATTGAATGACTGACTCATAAAGGCAATCACTTGATGGAATCAGTGTTTTAAACAAATCTGTGGAATGAATGATTCAGTGACTCACTCATAAAGATACTCATTTAGTTCTTTCCAGAATGAATCTGTGTTACTGAACAAATCGATTGAGTGAATCAGTGACAAATCGGTTGAATGAATGATTCAATGACTCACTCATAAAGGCAGTCATTTAGTTCTTTCCAGAATGAATCTGTGTTACTGAACAAATCAATCGAGGGAATGATTCAGTACCTGACTCGTAATGACAATCGCTTGATTGATTCCTAAATAAATTAGCATTTTGAACAAATCTGTTGAATGAATGATTCAGTGACTCACATACATAGACGTCGTAACCTGCAGAAGAAATATTTTAGATAAATATTTATTGGCTGTATCACCCAGCCTAGTATTAAAGTTGCATACATCTAAAAAGGTCATTTAAATATTAATTTAACTCACTAAAAACAAGGTTTCGCTTGAACAGGTGTCAGTCAGCGTTTATGCAACAGAACTGCTGTTACTTCTATGTTTGATTAGTTTAGTGAACAGGGCACAATGGTTATGTTTTTTTTCCCGGTTTCTACACATGTTGAGTAGTACGTAGATCTATATTTAAGATTGTGAGCATGTGTCTGCTCACATTGTGTTAATTGTTCTGTCTTGTATATCTGAAGTGTTATGAGCCTCCTGGTGCAGCCTTGAAGCAGGTGGTCTGTAAGATTGCACGCTGCAGTCACATAACGCTCACTTGGTATTCATCTCTTCCTCATCTGGCTCCCTCGCTCTTGCTCTGGGCTCCTGGATCTTGTGTTGTGAATGTCTCTCTCGTTTGTGCCGCTTGTAACGGCTTTGAAATATTGCCCAAGTGACTTGTGGTTCATGAGACTGGCGCTTCAGACATAAACCGAAGAAGCACGAGAACAGTTTCCACTGCGTAACGTAAGCACCTCTGGCTGAATTCACTGCGCTGTTATGATTGCACATAAATATACATAATGTACACACACACACACACACAGACACACACACACAGACACACACAGACACACACACACACACACACACACACACACACACACACACGCACTCACACACGCACTCACACACACTGCCATTCAAAAGTTTGGGATTTTTGGGATGTTTTCTTTTAAAGAAGTCTCTTCTGCTCATCAAGACTACATTTATTTAATCAAAAATACAGAAAAAAATTTAATATTGTGAAATATTATTGCAATTTAAAATAATGATTTTCAATTTTAATACACTTCAAAATCTAATGTATTTCTGTGATGTGCAGCTGTATTTTCAGCATCATTCCTCCAGTCTTCAGTGTCACATGATCTTCAGAAATCAGTATAATATGCTGATTTATTATCAATATTGGAAACAGTTTTGCTGCTTAATATTTTTTTTGATCCTGCGATACTTTTTTTCAGGATTCTTTGATGAATAAAAAGTAAAAAAAAAAACAGAAATTATTTAAAATAGAAATCTTGTCTAACAATATAAGTCTTTATTATCACTTCATATTATATGCAAGTTATTATTTAAATTAAATAATAATTAATAATTTATTTATGTGTTTTAATTGTATTCCCATTCATTGATTATTTATTTGTTTACTTATTTATTACAATTGAATTCTAATTCATAATTAGTTTTTTTATTTAATTTTTATTAAAATTACTGTATGTCTGTATTCATTTGTTAATTTATTTCAATTTGACTCAAATTCAGAATTTATTTGTATGTTTATTTCAAATTCATATTTTATTTAGTACAATTTAATTATAATGTATTAAGTTTAATGAATTCAAGTTAAGTATTTATTAATTTCAATTGTATTCAAAATATATTATTTATTTATTTATTTCAGTTTAATTTATATTAATTAGTTATTTACAGTGTATTTATTTAGATTTCATTAAAGTTCATTATTAATTAATTATATAATTAGTTAATTTATTTGATTAATTTGTCTGTGTGTGGTATTTTGTAAAAAATAAATAAATCTAAATAATTTGGTGAATGCCATGCCCATTGGCTACTATATAGAATGTGTTAATTATTATTATTATTAACAATAATATCAAATGTAAATATTTCTTGAACATTGGTGTATTTAATCAGTGCAGTTGCCACAATTTTATAAGAGCACTAAGTGGCACAGGATTCATGCTGTTGTTAGCTACACTCTTTTACCATGGCTTATTGCTTATTAACTTTTTTCATGATCACTCTGTAAAACAGTCTAGTTGGTCATTTGAGTTCGTTCTGCCTATAAGAGCATAAACATTTAAGGTGTTTAAGCTTTAAAGGTGCATTCTCTGAACACTTTATCTGTTCAGACAGCAGCTCAACTATTAGTCTGTTTTTAGCACTTTATATTTAATGGAAAATAGTGGCATTTCCTCTCATCCTCCTCTCACTTCACACAATGTTATTTTGTCTCTCGCACTTTTGCACTCTCATCTTCCCCTCATATCACAAACTCGTTTTCCTCTTCAGGTTTGTTTTCTCTCTCTCTCTCTCTCTCACACACAC